GGGTCTTCCGGGAATTTTGCAGAACTTTTTGGAGAGTTTCTACGTATTCTAGCGATCGAAATAGAATTTTACTCAAGGGAACCGGGCGCGACTCCGGCTGAAGGTTGACTCGCCTTCTAAAAGTTTCATTTTTTTTTTTTTAATTCGAGTTTTGAAGTTTTAGTTATTTTTGAAAATTTAACTTAGAGTTTTGAATATTTTAAAATTTAAATTTTGAAAATGTAATTTAACTTTGGTAAATATAATTTTGGAAATTTAATTTGATTTAAGTTTTGAAATTTTAAGTTGTGAACTTTTAGTTTGATATTTTAAATTTGACTTTGTATCTAAAAAACAAATGGAACAATTAACCTTGTTTAAAGAACTTATTTGGCGTCTGTTATACATGCGTATCGATGTGTTTTCCATATGTACATTTATATTGCAAATAACTGTCAGATGCACACGCGACTCCGACTCAGGCGACCACCGAGCAGCTCGCTTAGTTCTGCTCTCCCTGGTTCTGTACTCAGACATTTGCCCTCATATCACAAACCACGCTTCCCCCTGTGCCCTACGAAACCGCAGCCCCAGGCGGCCCTGGGGCGATCCCTACAACAAACCCCGGGCCACCTTCCTCGCGCGGGCTCTTGGCCTCGGCCTCTTCTAGTCGCCCGAGGACGCGCCCTCCACTGGGCGCCTTCCACGCCCTTGAGGCACCGCGGTCCCTCCGACGCGCGCCAGCCTCGGGGCTGACTGCAAATGGCCGCGCCTGGAAGGGCGTACAAATAATCCGGTCAGCTTTCTAGGGAACGGCCTGGCATCAGTTTGAGGACTGTTACTAAATCCATCCCTGCTGTGGCATGACTCAGTTTCCCATCCCGCTCCAACGGGGGAGCAAAGTAACCCAGAGGACGGAAGCAGGGGGCACACATGTCCACAGTTACAATCAGAGCTGGTAATTTTTTTTTTCCCGCGCAAGCCGCCAATTATATTTTTAAAGTAACAGGGCTCCGCGCTCTTTCGGGGAGTGTCTAAAGGTCTAATAAGTAGACTCCTCCAGTTCTCACACGTCTGTTTCATTAATTTTATTGAAAAGCAGTTGCCCTCTGCTTCTTTTCTGAAGGGGGGAGGGTGAGAAGAACAAACTCCGTCTGGCTTTTAATTAACACCGACGTCTTTAAAACAGTAGTAGTGAATGAATTAGGAACACCTTTTGGGATTGCTTTAGAAGATCTGGAGTNGGGCGGGATGAAAGGCTCCTGGGTTGGAGATGCAGAGCCGGAAGAGGCAGATCCCCAAGTGAACGCCTTGGTGAGATGCAGAAAGGCGATTGATGCAGGGTCTTCCGGGAATTTTGCAGAACTTTTTGGAGAGTTTCTACGTATTCTAGCGATCGAAATAGAATTTTACTCAAGGGAACCGGGCGCGACTCCGGCTGAAGGTTGACTCGCCTTCTAAANTTTTTTTTTTCCCGCGCAAGCCGCCAATTATATTTTTAAAGTAACAGGGCTCCGCGCTCTTTCGGGGAGTGTCTAAAGGTCTAATAAGTAGACTCCTCCAGTTCTCACACGTCTGTTTCATTAATTTTATTGAAAAGCAGTTGCCCTCTGCTTCTTTTCTGAAGGGGGGAGGGTGAGAAGAACAAACTCCGTCTGGCTTTTAATTAACACCGACGTCTTTAAAGAACAAACTCCGTCTGGCTTTTAATTAACACCGACGTCTTTAAAACAGTAGTAGTGAATGAATTAGGAACACCTTTTGGGATTGCTTTAGAAGATCTGGAGTTAGGGCAGGAGCACGTGGGGAGTAGACGGTGCGAGATTGTCAGTTGTGCCAGTGTAATTGCTAAATAGTAGTTGTTTATGCTATGTTCTCTGCTTAGCGTATGTTCGAATATGTCATTAATAAAATGTTTATTCACATTAAATATCAACATAACATAGGTTCCCAAAAGACAGTCAAACCTCCAAAAAATTAAAATGAAATTATTGCCCACACTACTCGTGACCCTTCTCAACTAGGTGAAAAGTGAGCCTTCCGGGAGCTACCAATTGACTGTCAGTGGAACAACCTTTATCAGCTCTTTCCTGTGTATGTACCCGAAGGCTGTTGGTTTTTTTGTTTGTTTGTTTTGGGTTTTTTTTTTCTTTTTTTTTGAGTCCTACGAGTTTATGTAGAAACTCAGATGACAATTTACGGCTCACTGTGTTGGTTTTTTTGTTTGTTTGTTTTGGGGTTTTTCTTCTTTTTTTTTGAGTCCTACGAGTTTATGTAGAAACTCAGATGACAATTTACGGCTCACTGTGTGGTCCAAGTTTTCTTAAAATCGCTGAGGCCAGGCCCACGGAAATGAAACCCTGGGAAAAGGTTAAGTCCTTCGGGCCGGACTCGAACCAGCGACCTAAGGATGGCTACCACAGAGGTTCCTACAGTCCTCCGCTCTACCAACTGAGCTACCGAAGGAACCTGCTATATAGGACCTTAGGATACTTTAAATGATGTTTACTTAATGATTTTTGTCTTGACTATTCCTGTTCCTTTTAAAAACAGGTAAACATGAGGAAGTTCTTAGGGCATTAGAAATGTTCAAAAATTGTTCTGGGTAGTAACTACAAGTGTATGAAAAATTAATTCCCTTGGATATTTCAGATTTGTGCTTTTTGTTGTGTATTTTACATAAGTCTTAAAACAAAACGGAAACTCCACAAATGTTCCCTGTCCTGCTCCCTTAGGTATAACATACACAGGACCATCGCCCTTATTGAACATGTTGTCCCACTCAGCATCTCCTCTCACTGTCAAAATGGATGATGATGGTAAGGTTATCTTAAACGGAGACAACTGGGTGGAAGAGGGACCTACCTTCCTGAAGTAGAGTTACTGCCAAGTTCATTTTGGAAACTGTAAGGAAAGTAGAAAAGTTTAGTCAGGATCTCTCACCTTTCATCTGTTACAAATGGGCAAGATTCAGCACATTTGCTAGAAACAAGTTATAAAAGTAGTGTAACTGCGCATGTGTGTCCATTTACTGATTCAGCATGATTGTTGTAATAATGTAATGCTTGGCTTGTGGCCACTATTGTGTACTAAGAGCAAAAAGGTAACTGCTCTGAACTTCTGGTCAGCAGAGCACAGTGGAGAACGGCAGAGCTCATGTCTGAGGATAAAGCATGTCTGTGAAACTCACTTATGAAGAGTGAAGTACGTCTGCCTTGAATAAAGCTGCGAGAATCTTCTTTAAATTACCTGCTCGTGGCCTGCACAGGAAGGGGTAGAAGGATCTGAGATCCAGCCCAATAGAAATATTGTGATTCTTCTTCCTGAAGGGTAAGGAAAATTATGGGAAGACACAAATGTACTAGACACAAAACATGAAAGCCGTTGTATTAGTCTGTTTCTGTTGCTTATAACAGAATACCTGGAACAGATAATTTATAAGAAAATGAAATATATTGCTTACAGTTTCTGAGGCTGGGAAGTCCTAAGTCCAGGGAACAAATCTGCTGTGGGTCTTCTTTGGTGGTGGCTTTACAGTAATGCAGGGTCTCACATGGCAGAAAATGGTGGAGCAGAGGGAGAGAGACTCTTCATGTACTCTCCTTTCAAAGCCCTCCGATCCACGCCCCTGACCACCATTATTAATCTACTTGCTACTGCATGGTCCTACCTCTTCAAGGCCCCACCTTTCAATTACCATAATAGGATTTCCTATCCTGAACAGTTATAGTGGTAATTAAGCTTCTAATATATGAACTTTGGGGAACACAATTCAGTCAATCTACAGCAGGTGTTTTGTATGTGTGTATGTTTAGGATTTGAGCGGCTCATATTATATTGTACAACTATAGCAGAGCGAATAAATAAAACACAACACCCTAACCCCAAATTTAAAAAAGAAATGTAAACATTCCATCTATAGGTATACTGTCATGCTTTGTTAAGGAGCACCTATTGTGGTGTTCAGCTCCCTGGCACCTCAGACCAAAATGAACACCAATGGGAAAAACAGAAAGCCATCTGGAGAGACTTTTCTTTTTCATGGAATTTATGAGTTATGAATTTTATGGTAATATAAATTATAAAAATGTATGGAAAAGATTTCTGGTGAATTTGTCTATGAAAGACCATTGCTTATTAAAATCAAATTTCTTCATAACTGTAGTCTTGAAAAAAATAACACATTTTTCTTAAAAAGATCCTGCCAAAAAAAAAGATCCTGCCAAATGATCCTCATGAGGAATATCTGCAGAACATAACTAATATTTAATTCAGTTCCTTTCCATGAGCAACTAACAATATACGAGTATGGTCTGGTAAATTTCTTTCCAATAACATAACATAATCTGAGGAAAAGGTGAGAAGCCAGAGTAGAGAAATGGGCAGTTTCTGTGTGAGACAGTCACTCCCACCTATCAAGTGTGCTTACTGACTGAGCCTTGGACACCAGATGTGAAAGCAGCTGCCACCACCAAACCCCAGGATTTCAGTTCATATAGTCTCTCAAATAAAACCTTCACCAGTTTTCACAGGGGGCATCAAAAAAAAAAAAAAAAAGGCTCAACTTTTTTCTCATCAACTAGTGCTAAGGTACAAATGCTCCTTTGAGATCCCAGAGGCTCATGTCTTGCAGTCACATGGTACTGCACAGTTGATTTTATTCTGAAAACTCCAATAGCTAATCTCACCGATTAGTTCCTTTACCTGTAAACTAATCTTGGCATAAGAATCCTACCTAAGGGCTGTTAGGGTTGCAATATCATGTGCCTGGAATGGTCTTTTCCCTGATAATCCTCAAGATTTGCCTCCTGGATATACAAGGGCAAGTAATCTTAACCTCTTCACACTAGATTTACATATCACCTGGTGGGAAGACTCTTCCTTCTTTCATAATCTGGTTGACAGAACTACACCTCTTCACTCTTGTGCCAGATCCAAGCTCAGAACTGGCTTATGGGTAAATCTAACTCTCCAGAATAATGCCTGGAAATGCAATCTCACTCTGTTCCTTCTCACTCTGTGCCTTCTCTACTGTTTTAGAACCTTCTCAACTTGGTACCTGAGTCCTAGATGGTTTTGACTTAATCTTGCCCTCTTCTCCTAAAGCTTACAGACCACCCTAATATTCCCATGGAATATTATTAAGCAATAAAAAGGAACACACTATTGGTAAACATTACAATAGGAATGAATCTCATATGCATTATATTGAATAAAAGAAGCCAGATAAGGCAGTCTGAGTGCAATGGTGTTTACAACTAACTGATCACAACCATTTACAGATTTCTTTGTTTCTTCTCCACCCACTACTTCACTTGACTTGCCAAAAAAGGGGAAAAAAGCCAGATACAAAAGGCTACAATTGTATTATTCCATTCATATGACATTCTTGCAAGGGACAAACTATAGGGACAGAAAATATCTATAGTTGCCAGGTTAGAAGATAAGGGAACGGATTAACTATGAAAGCATATGGAAATTGGGCGGTGGTGTGTGGGGGGGCAGTGGTGGTGATGTAACTGTTCCATATCTTGACAGCGGTGGTGGTTACTTGACTGTATACATTTGTTGAAATTTGCTACACTAAAAAGAATGTACATTGAAAATTATTTTACTGTGTAAATTGTGCCTTAATCTAAAGTATGGGAAAAGTTACTTTTTTTTTTCTCCGCAGTTGGTCAAACCCTTGACCATGGTCCTATAACACCACACTCTAACCAACTGAGCTAACCAGCCAGCCTGAAAAGTAACTTTCAAAAAATTAAAATTGGAGAAAAGTTAAAGTGTAGGTTAGAGCTTAATCAATCAATGTAATCACCTTATTATCAGAATAAGAAAGAAAAACTGATTATTTCAATAGGTATAGAAAAAATATTTGACAAGGTTAAATATATGTTTATGATAAAACTTCTGCAAACTAGTAATATGAGAGAATTTAATTATAAAAGACATCTTTAAAAATCCTATAGCTGGTATTATACTTAATGGTGAAAGACAATGTTTCGGCCCTAATATCAGGTCCAGATCATAGATGTCCACTCTCATGACTTCTATTTAACATTATCCTAGAGGGTCTAGCTAGTGCAATAAGAAAGGAAGAGAAATAAAATCATATGGATTTAAAAGGAAAAAGTAGAACTGTCTCTTATTTGCATATAACATAATCATCTATGAAGAAAATCCTGAGGAAGCTACTATAAAGCTACTACAACTAATATGTGAGCTTACCAAAGCTTCAGGACACAAATATAATAAATCATTATCCTATTTATTAATAAATTGTATTTCTATTTGTTAACAATGAATAGCTGGAAGTTGAAATATAAAGTACCATTTGAAATGGTACAAAAGATATAAAATATTTAGAGATAAATTTTAACAAGGTGCAATTAAAAATAACACGTTTTCATGGCAGAAAACTCAATATTTTTCTGATGTCAATTCCAATTCTCCAAATTGATTTATACATTTAATGCCACCCCAATTAAAATCTCAGTGATTTTTTTTAGAAATTGACAAGCTGATACAAAATTTATATATATATATATATATATTTTTTTTTTGGTGGCTGGTCAGTATGGGTATCTAAACTCTTGACCTTGGTGTTATCAGCACCAGACTATAACCACCTGAGTTAACCGACCAGCACCCCCCCCCCGATTTATAAAATTAACATAGACAAACAAAAGATTCAAAATATACAAAACAATTTTGAAGGAGAAGAACAAAGTTGGAGGACTTAACAGTACCTGATTTCAAGACTTATGATAAAGGTATATGGAGTCCAGAAATAGACCTGCATATATATGATTAATTGATTTTGACAGACGTGTCAAGATAATTCAATGGGAAAAAGATAGTTTTGCCAAATGGTGCTGGAAGACTTAGAATATCCATATGCAAATAAGTGAAATTGTGCCCTTAAATCGCACAATATACACAAATTAATTCAAAATTAATTGCAGACCTACATATAAGAACTAAAACTATAAAACTTCTAGAAGAAAACATGGAAGAAAATCTTTGTGACTTTGGGTTAAGCAAAAAATTCTTGAATGGTTCACAAAAAGTATAAACTATAAAGAAAGAAAATGATAAATTGAACTTTATCAAAGTTGAAAAGAAAAATCTGTTCCTCAAGAGACACTGTTACAAGGAAAGTTACAGGTTAGAAGAAAATATTTGCAAAACACTTCTCTGATGAAGGACTTGTATCCAGAATACATAACACACTCTTGCAACTCAGTAATAAGACAAACATCCCATTTGTTTAAATGGGCTAATGATTTGGACAGATGTTTCACAAAAGAAGGCATACAGATGAGCAATAAACACATGATAAGATATTCACCATCATTACTCTTTAGGAAGATGAAAATTAAAGTCACAATGAGATACTCCAGACACCTAATAAAATGGCTAAACAAACAAACAAACAAAAAAAAAAAGTAAGAAACTAATAGTGCCAAATGCGGGTGAGGATGTAAAACAACTACAATTCTCATATATTACTGACGGGAATGCAAAATGGTACACCTTAGAAAACATTTAGTCAGTTCTCTAAAACAAAATTAGGCTTATACTTAGTAAAATCCAACAATCCCACTCCTACGTATATACCCAAGGGAAATAAAAACACACGTCCACACAATGGCCTATACATGAATATTTACAGTAACTTTATGCATAACTGCCAAAAACTGGAAATATTCAAATATCCATCAGTTGGTGAATGGATAAATAAGTTGTACTAAATCCACATAATGGAATACTACTTAGCAACTAAAAACTAATAATAACCAATAATACTAGGGGACTTCAAAAAGTTCGTGGAAAAAATGAAATTAAATGATAAAAATAAAAAATATAAACTTTATTTCTCAACATAAGTTCCTTCAAGTTCAAGACACTTTTGTAAGTGATGCCTTTTAGTTCCATTTCATGACACACTTCTATTTATCTGAGTCTTAGTGTTGCTTTGCTTTTGCCTACTCCGAACCCCGGGCCGCTTCTCGCAGTCAGAGGACACGCCCACCAGGGGGCGCGCTGGAAGCGTTCGCGTCCTCCCACCTGCACCGGCCGTGAGGCCGACTGAGAAGGTCGCACGAGGTAGGCCCTGTTTTTATTTCTCATTGTTCAGGTCTAAATTATTTATTAATACACATCGCCCTTGCGACGGGGGCCCCGATATATTTTTTTCACCCAGACTCGAACCCCATTAGGAGACTCGAGGTGGGAATGGAGAGAAAGGGTGTTTCAAGGGGCGAATTTCCCAAATGAAGAATGAAAACTAAGACTTCTTGGAAACCATGTTTATTTCGGACACATTTTATGCGGGTAAATAAGGATACGTGAAATGAAGGTCTATACATTTGAACAGGGTGTCGTCCATCGTTTTGGTAAGTAGAGAGGGCTCATTCACAGGTGAACTTACGTTGTCCTTTCAAAACAGCCGTCCTTCGAGCCGGATTCGAACCAGCGACCTAAGGATGTCTTCCCAACTAGTTACACCTACAGTCCTCCGCTCTACCAACTGAGCTATCGAAGGACACGCAAGCTACTTTCTCTTTTAGAATCTCTAAAATAATGTATGTCCTGATAATTTGTTTTAATTATATTTATGTTCACTTTTTAAAGTACTGTGCACTTTAGTCTTCTCAGACATTGAAAGTGTTACAGATTGTTTGTTTCATGGGTTTATAAACATGTAAAATTCATTGGTTGTATGTGTAAGATATTAGGATACTTACGTATATCAAAACAAAAACCCTACAAGGATCCCATGTCCTCCTACAGATCGTTTGTTTCATGGGTTTATAAACATGTAAAATTCATTGGTTGTATATGTAAGATATTAGGATACTTACGTATATCAAAACAAAAACCCTACAAGGATCCCATGTCCTCCTAAGTATAACATAGGTAGTAGGGTGAATCCCCCAGGTTATGCCCGATGTCCTGCTGTCCTGTCTGATTATCTCCTTTCTCTCTCAAAAGTGTCTGGGTTCACCCGATAAATGATGTGGTTGCCTAAATACAGTCAACTGGGTTGAAGAGGATCTTAGGGTTGTGAACAGAGCTGTATCCAGTGCATTTTGGTACCATTGTGATTCTCCTTTCTGAAACGATAAATGATGTGGTTGCCTAAATACAGTCAACTGGGTTGAAGAGGATCTCAGGGTTGTGAACAGAGCTGTATCCAGTGCATTTTGGTACCATTGTGATTCTCCTTTCTGAAAGTCGAATGGAAAGTCGTGTCTATTCATAATTCTAGTGATGAAATGTGAGGTGTTTTTTGCTTGTGGATGTGTAAGTTTTCTTCGTTAGATAAATGATTTGAGTAGTTCATATTATATTACATAATTATAGTGGGGCAACTAAAACGAAACAAAAATCTTTGAAATTTTTAAATGGAAATATAAATATTACTTTTTCAAAGCAAATCATCACAGAGGTTCAGCAGAGATTGTTGCATATTCAGCTTCCTTGCGCCTAAAACAGAAAAGGAGAAAACACTAAACTATCTGGAGAGAAAAGGCTTTGAAAAGAAAAATTCCAATTTTTTTTTTTTCAAATGGTAATCACCAATGCCTCCCATTAGGAATACTGAGAGCATGCAGTTGATATTGAACTCAGTAATTAAATCCCTTCCACGAGTAACTAAGAAAATAGTATCTGGCAACTTTCGTTTCGATGTTCCTAATCTAATGGAGAGCAGCTAGAGAGGAGGGATCCTAGGATATGGACAGTTTTTCTTGACATTATTAGGTGCCCTATCTGTCTTTGGATAGCAGGTGGAAATGTAGCAGAAATGCCAACAAGTAGTGAAATTTCAAGATAGTGGTGGATTCTATTGCTGCTACAGAATCATTGACTCTGCTGGTGTGACACTTAGAGGAAAAGGGAGCCCCCAGAAAGGAAACAGGAAAGAGCAGGTCCACCTTTCTTTGTCCAGCCTTGGAGTCCCTCTCTTGCCTCCCTTTTGGCAAAACTTAGCCAAAGGGTCAAGCAGTAAAACTAAAATGTGGTTTACAGAGTCCCACCTCCTATATCACAAGGGTGATTAAAGAAAGGTATGTGTCTTAGTCTGTTCAAGCTGTATCTTTGTCTGTTTGTGCTGCTATAACAAAGTACTTAAGACTGGGCAATTTATAAAGAGCAGAAATTTATTTCTCACCATTCTGGAGGCTGAGAAGTCCAAGATCAAAGTGCCAGCAGATTTGGTGTCTGGTGAGCGCTTGCCTTGCTTCCAAGATGGTGCCTTGTTTCTGTGTCCTCACAAGGCAGAAGAGATAGAAGGACAAAATGAAGGAACATTGTGTCCTCACATGGCAGAAGGAAAAGAAGGGCAAAAAAGAGTCAATCACACTCCCCCAAGCTCTTTTATGAGGGCATTAATCCAAACATTAGGGCAGAGCCCTAATCACTTCCTAAAGTCTCCACCCCTTAATACTATCACATTGGGTCTTAGGTTCCAACATACTGAATTTTGGAGGGATACACATATTGAAACGATATCAGGCTGTGGTAACAAAATACCACAGATTGGGTGGCTTAAAACAACAGAATTTTATTTTCTCAGAGCTCTGGAGGCTGGGAAGTCTAAGATCTTGGTGCTGACTCATTTGGTTCTTGATAAGGGCTGTCTTCTTGGCTTGCAAATGTCCACCTTCTATCTCTGTCCTCACATGGAAAAGAGAGAGAGAACATGTGTAAGTGCTCTGACATCTCCTTTTTAAAGGACACTAATTTATGGGTCAAGGCCTACCCTTATAACCTCATTTAACCTTTAACTACTTCCTTAGTGCACCTACAGTCACTTTAGGGGTTAGGATTTCAACATACAAATTTGGGGGGAGCATAATTCAGTCCATAACAGTGAGTTTGGAATTGAGAGTCAATAGTTTAACAACTGATAAAACTTCTATGTGAATTTGAACATATTCCTGGTCTTCATTTACCTCTGTGGAAACTGAGAGATTGGAAAATTTAATATCTAATCCAATGTTACTGGAAACCAGAACTCCCAACTCATGGCTGAAAGCCCCAGACAAACCAATCACTCCCAGTTTACAGTCAGTCATGCCAAAGCACAACCCATGGGCCTGAGCTATGGGATGGGTTTAATTTTCTTTCACTCCAGTTGCACATCTGCATTCCTAACAGTGCCATAGAAAATAAACAGGGAGAAAAGAATAAATGGAGGCTAAACTGACTGGGTAAATTCTGTCCAGGGACATGTAAGGAGAAAGCACCTAGATGGCAGTAAGGATCAAGGCAAGACTGACCTTTTTTTGAGATTTTTTTTTTTGAAGCCAAGTTTTGAGAACGGTGAGTTTCTACACACACTTGGAACACCTGAGTTTTTAACTCTCTTGTCTAAGATGTGAGGGGGTAGTTGGGTGCGGCAGGAAGAAAGAGGGCTTCTTCCCAGAGTGATCAACTTTTGATCAGCCCTGATTGCAATGAAAAAGCAAAAGAGAACAGCAAGTTTTAAGGCAAGTCTAAAGGTCTTAAAAAGTCCTGCTAAGGATGCCTTGCACAGCATAGAGACAGAGTCACTTTCTTAATTACGATGTTTCCCCTTCTCCATTTCAATTTTGATCATCTTGTCACAATTCATCGAGACAAGAAAATAACATTAAACCAAAAAGAGGAAGTCTCTAATGATGGAATTTCAGAAAAAGAAGGTGTTGAAGGTACAGATGTCGGGAGAGGGACTTCATATGGCTTTCCTGAAAGTGATGGGCCTCTAGCAATGCCCGGCTCATCCTCCTCTTCACAACTAGCTTCTGCTGAACGGTGTCTAGCACCTAGCGCTTGGCACACACATGGCACCTGGTATTCAACAGGCCCAGAAGAAAAAGAAGCAACTACGAATGCCTTTGACTTTCTGCAAGAACTCTGGCTTCAAGTCTGCAACTATAAGTATATTCGCTTCTCTTGTTGATATTTACTTTGTAAAAATAACTTGTACGACTGACACCCGTTGATCGAAATCGGGACTACGGAAGCCACAATGGAGAAATCAGATGAGACACACGCCCCCTCGTGGCCATGCGTCCTCCGGCGGTGATAAAGCCATACAAAAAGCGGATCTTACGGGACAGTCGTAGATCCGTAGCGACTATAAAGAACCTGTTTCTGGGATCAGTTGAGTCAATTGGCGGAAATTTTAGGAGTGCAGGGATTGGTGGGAACTTTTGGGTAAGCCAAAGCCACAACTCATTTCTAGAGAAACTTGGTTTTCCCTCCTGCCAGCGTCCTCAATTTCTTTCCGGTTCCTGGTTTTCGTAGATGATTCTAGTGTTAACATCTTGCCCAATTCCCAAGACAGGTGTTTCTGCGGACTCCGCACCCTGGTCCACTTGAACTCTGTGGTCTTCTCGCGACAGGAGCCAGAACCGGAGAACAGGTTATAGGTGGCGCTAAGTGGCGGAAGTCATCTGGGGGCTGTTTGACCCCCAGTAATCTGCAGTCGCACTTCCTATTGGCTCACAGCAAGTGTCAATTGAAGTGGCAGCGAGTCCTGAATTACTTCCAGATACCAAGGAGGGTAAAGGATGTAGGCGGGTGCGCTCGGGTGGGGAATTAGCTCAAATGGTAGAGCGCTCGCTTAGCATGCGAGAGGTAGCGGGATCGATGCCCGCATTCTCCAGTTTTGTATCCTCACCCTTTTCTCCAGTGTTATATCCTTACCCTTTGGTCTTTACTCCTGTCTTTAATACCCGCATTCTCCAGTTTTGTATCCTCACCCTTTTCTCCAGTGTTATATCCTCACCCTTTTCTCCAGTGTTATATCCTTACCCTTTGGTCTTTACTCCTGTCTTTAATGTCTCGCTGAAACTAGAGCCGCTAACAACACGAGCCCATTTTATAATACGGATGGTCTTTCCTTTGAGAGCCATGTACTCCAAGTTCCCTCATAGTCCATGAAGACCCACTTCCTCCGTGGTTCCCTCGTCTTCAGACAGTTGTACCACAGGACTTAGTTCTTTGGGATTTTTCTCATGTTTTGTAGATATTGGTCTCTGCCAGATGAATTTGCAAATCACTTCATTTACTGTATGTATTAATATTACATTTTTATTGTCAATCTATTTTCCATAAGTCCGACCTATTTAGGATCACCT